GAAGGAAGGAAGGAAGGAAGGAAGGAAGGAAGGAAGGAAGGAAGGAAGGAAAAAGGAGATGCCAGCATGTGCCAGGTGCTGTGTATGTGCCTCCCCCTGTTGTGAGTGCCTTCCAATGACACCATGAGGAGTTACTGTGTTCATTTCACACAGGGTCACACAACTAGTAGCCAACCAGAATCAAATCAGCCCAAACAAGTCCATGTGGCTGAAGCCAATCTCACCCACCACTGCTACCCCTGTGTGTGGGCATTACAGTGTGGACATTACAGCCCTCTGCCTGCCCCTGTCTTTCAGCCATCATCTCTTCTCCTCCCTCAGACAGAGCAATCCAGGTTCTCCCAGTTCATCGAGACCCTTCTCAAGAGTTATATTTCTCCAAGAATTTATTTCTTTTTCTTGATATCCCCTTAATGTTGCAATATACAGTTCGTACCAAACAGCCTCGCTTTGCCTATGTAACACCTTACAACTCTCACACTCATACACTTTTAACAGAAGACAAGGTCCTCCCCTGATTCAAATATCCAATGGGGCATTTAGAATAAAATCGTAGGCCTCCATAGATGGGCGTCCCTCCTGCGATGGCCCGCTGTAGCTTGTCTCCAGTTCTATGCCTGAAGCTCTTGTTTCTGCTCTGCAAGAGTAGAGGCCACTCAAGAACTGATCCCTCTGACCCCAGTGTTTTCTTCTGGTGCCATAAATAAATTAGGATTAGGAGACAGCCAGAGCAAGCTACAGGCTGCAAGCTACTGCGGCTGATCACAGACAACCCTGTTCTTTGCAGTACCCGTTACAGTGGAATAGCATTTAGGATAGTGCCAGCACTTTGAGAGTGTACACAGTCGTAGAGCAGAGTGTGCAGGCTCCCGACAGGCCACCCACCCCCAGCCAGTCCCTCTGTCTTTGCTTCTTGTGCCCACCCCCTTCCTGCAGTGGGCACACCTCACTACATGGACCCACCTGATGACATCTCTGTCCCTCTCCTTTATCCACTGGCTTAAAATTTGACAAGTCAACCATATACAGCACTCCCAACTATGTGACTGATGTACCCCCTGAGACTCCTCGTGGATGAGTGCCAGTGAGCAGAAGCCGCAGCTTACCCTTCCCCTCTTCTGGAGGACTCTGGGAAACAACTTTCCCCACTCTGCCTCCTGCTGTTTCTTCTGTAACCTCCCCTCCCTCCTGTTCCAGGTGAGAAACGTCACTGCTTTGATGCCAACTACAATCCCGGCTACATGTACGAAAAGGAGAATGAGATGATGCAGACCCGGATGATGGACCAGGCCATCAATAACGCCATCAGCTATCTCGGGGCTGAAGCCCTTCGCCCCTTAGTCCAGACTCCACCTGCTCCCACCTCTGAGATGGTCCCGGTCATCAGCAGTGTGTACCCCATAGCACTTACTAGGGCCGATGTGCCCAATGGGGCCCCACAGGAGCTGGAAAAGAAACGGATCCTCCTGCCAGAGAAGATCTTGCCTTCTGAGCGAGGTCTGTCCCCCAATAACAGTGCCCAGGACTCCACAGACACTGACAGCAACCACGAGGATCGCCAGAATCACATCTACCAGCAAAGCCACATGGTCCTCCCCCAGGCCCGCAACGGGATGCCACTCCTGAAGGAGGTCCCTCGCTCTTTTGAACTCCTCAAGCCCCCTGCCATCTGCCTGAGGGACTCCATCAAAGTGATCAACAAAGAAGGGGAGGTGATGGATGTGTTCCGCTGTGACCACTGCCATGTCCTCTTCCTAGATTATGTGATGTTCACCATCCACATGGGTTGCCATGGTTTCCGTGACCCCTTTGAGTGTAACATGTGTGGCTATCGAAGCCACGATCGCTACGAATTCTCCTCTCACATTGCCAGAGGAGAGCACAGAGCCATGTTGAAGTGAGCATCGTCTCTAAGCTCACGTCGAAGTGTCAACATTGTTTTTAAAAGCTGATGATAGCCTTATCCAGTAGACTGAACCCAAACCCACAATCCCGCCCAGCTATGTTAGCTCTCAGTCATGTCCGCATGAGCAGTCAGGGAAATACTGTCTTCATTCAGAAACTGTTTGCAGAGCTATCATGTTCCTTTGTGAACTCTTCCTTTCCCATCAGTTGAATTTGATGGGATTTAAAAGCCAAAGAAGTATCTGGTTCATTATCTTTTGTAGCAGTCAACAGCCATCCACTGGCGCTCCTGGCCAGTTGGAACAATCCTCCGTGGGCTGCAGGAGTCATTCACTGTAATACAGCATCCATATGTGGGAAAGCCTTTTGATCCGATGCCCAGATCCACACAGCGGAAGAGCTGACCACCTGCCCTTGCCCTTGGGCACCAACGCAAGGCAGAAGGCTTAGCATGTAGTCCCCCTCCCTTCACGTTCTAGCAGTGAGGAAGAGGTGGCCCTACAGTAAGGACCTGCTGCCAGTGATGGAAGACCCTATTCTTGGAGCATCAATCCACTTCCTGTCACACAGGCAAAACAAAACTGAAGCCATCTGAGGACCCTTCTGCTTTACCTGCTGTCCCATGGGAGAACCTCAGACGATCTGGCCTGCGCCAGAACCTTGATCCTCCTGCCTCAGTCTGGAGGAAAATTCTACTCCAGGAGAACCAATGCTTTTAAATATTGTGTATCTTTGAAACCGCAGAGTCATCCACTGAGAGGTGATATTTGTCTCCTTTGATTGAGGTTGGTAGAGCAAGTGGGGGCATAGTTTAGGGGTACAGTGCCTGCCAAGTTCAACCCCTATACCAGGGGACAAAGGGGAAAGAAAGAAGGAATATGAAGGAAAGAAAGACGGGCAGAGCAGAGTGTGTGAGGACATAGCTGGTTGGCAGTTCTTGTCATCTCTGTGGAGTACTGGCTGAAAACCCAAAGAATATTTGAAAGTGATTTTAGGCAAAAGAGCCAGATGTGCTGCTTCATCCCCCTCCCCCACCCCACAGGCGTGAGATCAGGGATAGAACCACGGTTGTTTCCTCAGGACAGGGTGACATCACACTCTCCTGGGTTAGACATGCGTGGCTTTTACTTTATTTTTCTATTTTTAAAACAGGGTTTCTTGCTGCCCCGACAAGCCTCCAGCTCACTACTAGCTGAGGCTAGCCAGCACTCTGATCCTCCTGCCTCAGCCTAGGGAGTGCTGGGGTCAGAGGGCGATCACCATCATGGTGTTGGGCTTCTGTTGTCCTAAATAGGAGTTGCTGCATCTCACTGAGAGTCTTGGAAGGCTCTGATCTTGTTCTGTAGATGGACCAGGCAGTCACCTTTGACACACAGGCACCAGGACATCAAGATTCTTGTAAAAATGTGCCGTAAAATGAGCACTGGACTAGAGGCCACAGAACATGTTTGCCTGCCCTTGTTTGCTACTAACTAGTTAACTCTAAAAGCTACATTTTCTCAACCATAGAATAAGAGTTGGGTCCAGAGCCTCCTGATGGTCCCTTCAGCTTTGATATGATTAGACAATAACCACAGGTGGTTTTTGTTTTTTGTTTTTAATTTCTTGATGTGTGGGCATTAAGCAGCCCTGCACATGAGAATGTGTTTCATATTTCTTTGATGTGAAAATGTAGCTGTGTTAAGTTTTTCCTTCAGCCAGTGAGTCATGACCATGAAGGAAATGGTGGAGGGGGACCGAGAACAGGAAGGGTTTTGATCATGCCGTTGTGTACACATGAGCTGGCATCTCCAGCTCCTTGCCAGGGCCCTTTTCTTCCTTTCTTTTTAGAAGAACGTGTGTTAAGGAAAATGAATTCTGCTTACAGGGACAGCTTCATGGAGCCTATTTACAAATTAAGAGCTAGCTTTCATGAGCATTTCTGCCAGAGCCAAGAATCCCAAACTCCTGGTATATTAGCATTTTCCTACTAAAGGACTTGTGGATTCTGCTCTCACTCAATTCATTTATGCGATGCCAGTAATTAAAACGTTCCACCCCAAACACACAAATGGCTTAGCCTGCTTTGTAGCATGGTGTCTGTCTCAAGGTAAAGGCGGGGGATGGGGATGGGGCATATGAAATTCCATGGCAACAGTCCCATGTATCTGAGGCCTCAGCTTAAGGGCCAGGTGTCTTCATCACATCTCTGCATCTCAGCAGAATCGGATCTGAGCCGTTCCACATTGCTCATGCCCACCGTGAAAGAGGACCTGCCTATTCTATGCTTGAGATATCTCACATCCTGTTGTCTTGAGGGAGTTCAAAGAGAGAGTGTTGGGAAACAGGGACTAGAAAGAAGAGATGCAGAAATGGGCGTTTCCATCAGAGTACTGCTGAAATCTGCTGCAGGGAGCAGGCACACACACACACACACACACACACACACACACACACACAGTCATCTTAAGATGGTGGACGGTGGACTACCATTCTACCAGCCCAGACACCTCTACAAATCAGACTCTGTCTGCTCTATGACTGGGCTTGCTGGATTGCATCCCTCTCCTGAGACTCCTTTTCTAAGCGATGTGCACACAGAGCCTTGACCTTCACAGAAGCTTCTGGAGCCTCGTAGGAGTCTCAACTCCTAGGGCCTGCTGGAGCTTGAAGATCTGGCAGTTAAGCCTAGTGGGGTGCCGTGTTTGGTGTCGTGGTTAGCACTGCCTGTGCATGTGATACTTGCACTGCCTAGGGGCCCCCCCGATGGAGGTGGGAGCTGAGATGAGAGAGGGTAGATTTGCATCCTCCATGGGGCTGGGAAGTCCTGGGGTAGCTTCAGCTTCCTCATATAGACGCCTTTGCCATGAGCCCTGTGGATCTTGCCTTCCTTTTCACCAGCCCTCTTATAAGCAGACTTTCACCACACACCATAGGGGTGGGGGCTGGGGGCTGCGATTTGGGGACCAATCAAAACCACAAGAAGTTCCATTGCAGCCAAGGTGACAGAGTTGGGGTGAAGGTGGGAGAAGGGTAGAAATGGCTCCCCGAGTGCTCCTTACGGTGTTCTGAAGGGCTGCACAGAGCTGAGCAGATGTGGCTGTCCCACGGCTGCTCAACATTACCACCAGAAGAGGGAAAAGGCCACAGATCTTCATAAGCTTCAAGTCATTCCCCCAAAGAAACAGTGCCCTGGCAATGACAAGCCAGCTAGCCTTCTCTCTGCTGCCCAGCCTCAGCCCTTCCTGACTTCACTTCTGAATTCACCCACGGCGGAATTCCATCGTGTGTGTACTTACCACTCTGGTTAATCCATCATCCATATTCACACACACACACACACACACACACTCATGCCCCACGCCAGAAAGACACACACCACACAGACACATAGACACATACACACCATACACACACACACACCACATACCACGCCACATAGATGCACACCACATAAATACACACACACACCACACACACACACCACACCACCACCAACGAAGAAAATGGCCCCAGGTGTCTTTCGCAAAGAGCAATATTTTAAAACATAAAATCTTAATTTAAATATATAACTAACAAATGTCACATTGACATAAAAGTTTTCCAGGAAGGTCTACATTACTCTCCTCCTCAGCTTCTTTGTGCCCTTGCTGAATGTGAAGGTTGTTACACTTTAGGGGGAAAGCCTTCCTTCCAGGCTGGGGTGTAGCTCAGGACAAGAATGTTCACCCAGCACCAGCATGAGAGAGGCCCTGGTTTCCAAACCTGGCTGGAAGAGAAAGAGATAGATAAATGATAGAAGATAGATAGATAGATGGATGGATGGATGGATGGATGGATGGATGGATTTTGAAACATACCCCAGGGCAGGCAGGAAGACTATGGAGACAAAGTTGGTCCATGGTCCTCCCTGTAAGGTACACTCCACTGAAAGGTATGCTGGTTTCTAGTAAGGCTTGGGAAACTCTGTGACAGTTCAGGCTTGTGAAACAGCTTGGGCATCTTTGAAGATGCAGAAGCCTTGAATTAAGACTTCTGCAGTAAGGAAGAAAAAAGAGTGGATTTTTACCTGAAAATCAGTACCAAGAGCTTTGGTGGAAGAGAATATATATTGTCACATTTCAAAGGCTAACAATGCTACGTCATGCAAAGGGTTGTTTAGGTTACTTTAAGAAACAGTGATTCTGGGCATCACGATTGGAGAATCTACATTCTTTATCTGAAACCAAAAGCTGAATCTGGGCCACAGTAGGACTGTTCTCTAAGAAGGCAGGACTGAGCTGCCATGGAAATGGTCAGTAAGGACAGAGTTGGGGGGTCACAGGTTTTTTTGTTTGTTTCTTTGTTTTTTGGGGTTTTGAGACAGGGTTTCTCTGTGTATCTCTGGCTGTCCTGGAACTCACTCTGTAAACCAGGCTGGCCTCGAACTCAGAAATCCACCTGCCTCTGCCTCCCAAGTGCTGGGATTAAAGGCGTGCGCCACCACTGCCCGGCAGGGACCACAGTTTCTAAGGACAAGGGACTTGGAAGAACCTAGAAGGCAAGTGTGGGCTTTTACCCAGAGTGAGCTCAGAGTGTAATGGAAGTCTTCGTCTCTTGCCTTACCTAAGCGGTGACCTCCATAACCCACCAAGCCATCAACATGCTAACTAGGTGTTTTTACTGTGAAGAAGCTGGATGTACTGTCCCCTAAGCATTCCGACGGGAGACCATCTGATCCATTGATACCAATTGGTTGTTATCTGAGACTGGAGCATTCATGCTTTGATTTAAGATGAAAGTCATAATATTATCTTCCTTCCAGAGCGTTGTGGTTTGCTGTAGTCTTGTGTGTAAAGTTGCTTCGGGGGAAGGGATGTTACACTGCAATTATACATTTTCTACTGTAGATCCGGCATCTGGTTCAAAGGTTATGAAAAGGGTCAGGATCTCAGTAGGGCCAGTGGCATTGCAGATGGAGGCTGCCTAACTAGCAGTTTCTTAGTGTTGTGTGGCATACAGCTAACGAATACGCTGGACCTTGGAGCCACTGTGAGTGAGCCACATAAACCCTTTCGTGGCCTTTCGCCAAGACAGTAGAATAGCTTTGCACCCTCCATGTCTGTGAGACCAGAGCCATCAGCCCTCACAGTCTTCCTAGAGGGTCCCCACCCTCCATCACTCTAGGGAGCCCATTCCTGAGAGCCCAGAGCATTGTAGCCCCACTGGGCTCCCTGCCTTTCTCCAGCACAATCCTGTTTCTTTGCCTCCCAAAAAAAAGACACACACACTTTAACATGTTAGGGAAACAGAGCAGCCATCAAAAATGACTGGTGTGGCCGCCAGTGACTCATCAATAGGAGGCCTTTCCAGGCTCACTGGCAAGGCCCTTCCTGCTTGGCCTGCCTCTGTGGAGTCACAGAAACCAAATTACTGTGGGTTGTGAAGAACTAGCAGGTCATTTTAAAGGCAGACATAACTTCACCCAGACTGTGGTTTTTAGCTGCTCAATCGGTGAGCCCCTGGGGGAAGGATCATTTTGGCTACTGGAAAAAACCATAGCTTATTTTTAATTTCTGGTTGTCAAAGTCACCACACGTGTGGTCTGTGGATGACCCTCATCTGCAGAGTTGATGAGAGAAGAACAAAAGGTGGGTTGGAGCTCAGGGGACCCTTACCTAGAAGTTCCCACAAGGCCTTACCATCAGCCTCCTCCCTGCCTGGGTTTCTCAGAAACATCCCCTGCAGTGTATCTGTCTTCCCTCCTCTGGATCCTGAATCCCAGCATCTGGAGCCTCGTACAATAACTCCCCACCCCATAATGTCTGCCCGAAGCTCACTTTGAGTGAAGTCCTTGCTAATCTCCCAGAACATGAGAACTGCATCTCCTGTATGAAGCAGCCTTCTGGTATTGTCAAGTCTTCTTTACTGTGTTTGATTTTTTTTTTACACTGATAAATAGATAAATAAAATCCTGGTGTGTTTAAAATTTGTCCTGTTACATGCTTATCATTTGTCATGGCTCCCACCAGAACATCGAGGGAATTCATTCTGCCCTGAGGAATAGCTCCATAATTTTGTCTTGGCTTTTTCTTAAAGTCCAAGTATCAAAATCAGTGGAATTACCACAGAAGTCTCAGCCTAGCCACACTGCTGAGCCTGCTATGGTGCACTACTGGTCTCTGAAGCCATAGCAGAGTTCTGGATCCACACATCCCTTTAAAACTCACGAGGGGTTCCCATGGACAGGGGTCTAGACAGAACAGGAGCAACACCCCCAGAACAGTCTTCCCGATTCACATTGCTTCACGTTGCTCCCCTCCAACAAAGGACCTTTGAGATAGCCACGTAGGTCTTGGCTTTTCTCAACTGAGGATCTCTGCAACAGTGAGAAACTCAGGGTTGCAGTCATTAAAACACAGCCAAGTTATATACAGTCTGTAGATACCTGGGGAGCCAAACTTCAGGTGAAGTGTGTCATGGGAGACTCCTCAAAGAATGATACATCCTTGTCTTATTATCTGGGGTTTACTCCAAGACAACTGGAGGGGTATGATTGGTCTAGCCTTCTGCCAAGCTCATGCAAACTCGCTCAAAGGCATGTAGAACCTAGGCCCACGGATCACACATGGCCAAAGATAACCGTGACTGCAGCCCAACACACAAGTCATCAACTTAAACATGAAGGTTGTGCAGTTTTTCTTGTGCAGTTCTTGGATGGGAACTCTGTAGATGATACCATCCTGTCACGATGTCAAAAGGTTGGACAGACATGTCTGCCTCGGGGCTTCTGCAATTTGGATTTAGCAAGCTCAGTCCTAAGCAGGCTGCTGGTGGGGTCCTCCTCAACAGCTCTACTGCAGCAGTATAGGCCTGCCTTTTGCTTTGAAGAATTCCAGCAAATCCTCCCAGCGCAGACGGGAATGGAGAGCAACCTAGCCTTGTGTTTTAGAGTAAATCCCTTAAAAGTAGCTTGCCCCTAGTCATAAGTCAGACATCTATGTGGACTTCCCCAAGGCCACTCCCTCCCAAGCAGAAACAGCTGGAGAGGAAGAAGGGGAGACCCAGAGGTCTTGAACCCTTTGCAAGGAGATGTGGGAGGGGCATTTCTCTCCAGCCTAAGGACATTAATTTCCTAGCTCCAGTGACCAGTGTTGCCTTAGAGGGGTGATGAGCCCAGCAAGAGAGGCCACCCCACACCTGCAGACTTCCCCACCCCCAACACCACTGCTCACACACCCCAGGCCACCTGCAAGGTTGAAGGACCCAAACCTCCACCTGCAAGCAACTGCCACCTGAGGGTAGGGAGGCAAAGGACCAAGTCCATTTCCCTCCAACTCATCCTTAAAAATCCCAGGGCATTAGAGACCAGAACTCCAGAGTACCAGGAACGGCCTGAGGAAGGTTGTAAAGTGGGCTGGTTCACCCAGGCCCTAAATTCGGCCCCTGGCGCATTCCCAGGCGGACGGTTGTTTGCATAAAAGCCAAAAGCCACTGCACCTGGGCTGGGGAGGCCCTCTAGGGAGGTGCTCCTTGGCTTAGGGGAAAGGGGGGAAGGAAGGTGTCATGGAAAGTCCCTGAAGGACACGGGTGTTGAGTTTGCTGCGGTTTTGTTTTTTAACTCTGTCTTGACCTGTGAAGTCTGCAGCTGCCTCCCTGCCCCCAAACAACAGAGCTTCCCCCATAAGTAACAAGCACAAGGAAAAAGATCTCCGATGGAAAGAACGGAGGTTACAGTGCTTGTGAGTGATGTAACCTGCCACCACCACCACCCTCTACCCAGGAGTGAGGGGGCAGGAAGCCCCAGAATCTTTTTCCCATCAACCCCACCACCACCCCTCTGCGCCCCCCCCCCCCCCGCCTGAAGAGCAGCCTAGTCAAATAAACCACAGGCCTGGATGGGAACGGGGGGGGGGGGGGGCAGGTGCTACCTCCTCCCCCAACTTTGTCCCACCACCAACTCAAGCCCCATCCCACCCCCACTGGAATGACATTCTCAGCCTTTCTTGCGGGAGTTCCTGTGTGTGTTTGGGGGAGGGAGGATCTCAGCAAAGCTCAGGACAACTTGGTGCTGGGTACTCATATTCTGGGTCTCAGCCTCACGACTCTCTGCGTGACTTCACGTGCTTCCCTTTCTGGACCTTAATTTTCCCTGGAGTCGTGAATCTTTTGGACTCTGAGTTCAACTTCACCTCCATTGCTTTAGTAGACTCGAAACCTGTCCTCTAACAACAAAAACAAACCCAGGGAGAGAGAATCCCCTTCCTTTCGCTACACTTCAGGGCTCCTAGGGTGTGGGCACAGGAGGTGACATTCTCCCAAGAGTTACTTTCTCAACTGTTTGTGAGATTCTGGGACAAGAAGTAAGGGACAGAGAGGTCCCAGGCTCCTCCTGTCTCTTCATCTATGGGAAACAATGGATGTGGGGGCTGGGGTGCTCTACACCCTTCTCAGGGTGGATACCGATTCCCGGGGTCAGGGAACCTAGGAGAGACAACGCTGTAAGTGCTCCGGAGAGGTGAAGGGGTGAGGCGCAAGGTGGGAGTCAAGGGGGTGAGGGAAGGGGCAGCCACATTTCTGAGAAACAGCCAGGCGTTCCAGCAGCCAGCGGATTAACCCCGAGCCTGCGGCTTCACAGTTCTCCCCTCCTGCCGCCCACGCCGCCCGGCGCCTCTCGGGGGTCTGCAGCCTCGACGGGGCGGTGGCCGCTGCGGACACGCAACAGATCTGGGGACAGCGGAATGGAGCCTAGGGGCGGAAGGTAAGCGCAGGAAGGCGTGGGTCGCATGACACCCCAGGGGTCCCGAGCGCCAGACCCCGCCTGCCCGCAGGTACCGCCCTTGCCCTCCACACCCAAGTCCTCCTCTCCCAGCCCCAGCAAAGCGGGATCCAGAAGTGAAACCGCCGGGGTCACAGCCCAGCGCCGCGCCCCGCCCTTCCGGGCACTGCTGCAAGGTAGGAGCTCCCCGCGCCCCGGAGCGCGGCTTTGAAACGGGGGAGGGGCAGGGGAAGAGCGCCCGAACCAACTGGGGAACCTCGGGAGGCGACGCCCGTAGTTCCGGGAATGGCCGCTGGGTGGCACTGCAGCCGCGTAGCTGGACTCACTCGGGCCCCGGGGGGGCCGGCGGGGCGCGGGGGACGCGCGGAGCGCCAACACGAGGTCGATGCGCGCACTTGCTAGCACGGCGGTGCGCGCGGAAAGATTCGAAATGTGATGTCGCTCCAGACGCTCGGAAGGGTCTGGGGACCGACGGCGCGTATTTGAGTTCTCTTCCTGCAATGTTCAAAGACAGTCAGGTTGTCAGCAATTGCGTCGTCGTGCGGGCCAAGTTGGCCGCAGGAGGGCAGCCGTGGACGCCGGATCACCTTGCACACATTTGTGTAGGTGGGACTCTGGCGTGCATGCGCTCTCCAACTCCAACCTGGTCTCACCAGTCTGGAGCCTCTCTTTATTCACTAAACCCGCTCCAGGTCCTTTCACTTCCCCGTCGTCTCGTGGGTGGGGTTGGGGGGGGTGGAGAATACCAAGTTCATCTCTTAGATGTGTGGGCTTGGGTGGCTCCACAGCTTGGGAGGAGGGAACCCAAAACTGTAAAATCTGTATAAAACTGATGACTTTAACAGAGCGGGGTAGACCAGAGTTGGTGAAGGTTGAAGATGATGGAATCCTATGGGGAAAGTAGGAAGGTACCCAGCAGAATGAGGGGGTTCTACCGTGTACTGGAAGAAGTGGCTCAGGCCTTAGAAACTGGCAGGTTAAAGGATGCACAAGCCTTCCATAATCACACGTGCATGGTGTGTCCACATTTCACTACCACACAGCTTTCCCTGAACGCCAATGCCAAGGCCCATTTCCAACCACTGATACCCTGCCCACTGAGCCACTTTGCAAGCCCTCAAAACGATTTCATTTATTTATTTATTTATTTATTTATTTAGAGGGAAGGTCATAAGCCATGGGTCTCTCCTCCCACCAGGTGGTAGATGCCATCCCTCATGGCTCTTAGCCCCCAGTTCCTCCCCCAGGGCTGGAAAGGATGGTGTCTACCGTCTGCAGCCTGGGCTGGCTGTTTCTAACTTTCTTTGTAACCCCAGGTGGGTCACTCGATCTGACGCTCAGTTTCCTATGCGTAAAGTGGAAGGCCTGTCGATCTCAGAGACTGTGATTGGCTGGGTAACACAGAAGGGGCGTGCTCCCCTGCCCAGTAACTCAGGTGCTGAGGAGATGCTGGGTTTTCTTTGGGGACAGACTGACTCTTCAGACATGCTTAAAGGGTGGCTCATTTTAGTTCCTTTTCTGGGACCTTGGCGAGAATACAACTGGGCATCCATGAGCAGTGCAGACTCCCAATTCCAAGCCTGAGCACCAGCCAGTGAAAGAGCCAGTTCCGGGGGCGGGCCGTGGTAGGTCTTTGCAGAAAAGCACTAAGATCTGCAGCTGGCCCAGTATTTGGGCTTCAGACAGCCCTGCAGGGGAGGTCCCAGCAGGCACACTGGAGTGTTAAAGGGTCTCTTTGCCTCTGTTTGTCAGGCCTGGCTCCAAGCTCCCCAACCTGGCATTAGCCAAGCATGGGTTGTCTTCATCCTCATTGGCCCAATGCTTGCTGAAGTTGACCCAAGTGCTTCTTGAAGTGGCTGGACCTTTGAGGTCACCTCAAAACAGCCTAACTGCTGAGACCCAGGCTACAGAGGAAAGTCTTTTCAGAAAGGACTGCCCTGAAGCTGAGGGGTCCCACCTGGAAGTCAGCTGCCCAGACGGGACACCCAGGACCTGGTTCTCCTGCTGTCCTGGCCTCCCTGTTCATGGTAGAGCTAGGATTTAAATGGACAGTGCTGTGGCTGGCAGGGCCACTTTGTTTACCTACTGCTTAGTCGGTCTTAGAGGTTTGGAAAGGATCTCTGTTCTATTTTTTTAAAGTTGTAAACATTTTCAAAAGTATCCAGGGGATCAACAAACCTGGATCTTTTTAAACATGAAGCTGAGCTGGACATGGTGACACATGCTTTTAATCCCAGCACTGGGGATTGGAGATGGAGGATGGGGGGTGGGGAGGATAAGGGGTGTGTGCCAGAGAGGCAGGGGGATGTCTGTGAGTTCCAAGCTGGCCAGCCTTGTCTACGTAGCAAATTGCAGCCCAACCAGGAATACACAGTGAGGCTCTCTTAGGAAGATCAAGCCATCATGTCATTTCCCTGTAATATTTAGTGAACCTTTCCCTTCTGCTTGACCCCCCCTTCCCCAAACCCCTTCCCCACACCCCTCTGCTGGGTGCTTTGTATGTTTGTTGAGATAGTCTCACCAAGTAACTCAGGCTTGCCTGGAACCTTTGAGTGCTGGCATTACAAAGTTTACATCTCATAAGCCTTTTCAAGGGGGAGAGGGGTAGAACTCTCACTGGTGGTGGTGGAACAAGCTTCTGATCCCAGCACTTGGGAAGCAGAGGCAGGCAAATCTCTGTGAGTTCGAGGCCAGCCTGGTCTACAGAGCAAGTTAATGACAACCAGAGATAAACAGAGAAACCCTGTATCAGAAAATTTTAAAAATTACAAAATCCTAACATGCCATTACCATATGCTAAACATGTAAGCATATCCCTTAAGATTGTGAGAGAGTGTCCCCCAGTTACTCGTGAATGTATTTTTACAGTGAGTGTGTCATTTGGTTGTCATGTCTAAATTTCTTTCATTTCTGTCATTGAAATAGAAACTGAGCTAGCCATTTTGTTTCCCAGTCCAGATTTTGGTAACTGTCCCCACATGTCAACTCATGTGTTCCACTAGCCCTTGTACTTCTGGGAAACTAGTTTGATGGAATCATAGTCAAGTTTGATTTTTTTTTTTTCAAAATAAAATCTGCTTAGGGTTCACATTCTGTAAGACACATCTTTACAACGGAAGCAGGAGGTGCGGGTGTCGCTGGACGTACTTATTATAAGGCTCTTGTTGGAGCCTGGCTTAGCAGTGGGCACGCTTGCACGTCACAAAACTCAGTCTGGAAGTTGAAGGATGGGTTGGAGACAGAAGACAGACTCAGGGCTGCGTCTTCATTCCCTTCCAGGCTTTCTGAGTGAGGGAGACTATAGGGATAGAAAGCAGATCTGGGGACTGCAGAGAGGGAGAAGAGGTTGGTAGAAGACAGAGGCGAGAAGGAAGTGAGATCACTCACCCCCCTGTGGTGTTCATCTGTCTGTCCACCAACTAGTCCAAGACTTGCTGCTGACTCATCTTGCTTTGGTTTGTGGGGAGAAGGGAGGTGGTGAGGCAGGGTCTCCTATAGCCCAGGCTGGCCCTGAACTCTTCTTCCTGCAGCTGCTGCCCAAGTGCTGAGATTCTAGTCATGCATCATAGTCCCCACGCTCAGTTAGATCTAGCTCCCTCAGGGCTAAAGAGATGGCTCACCGGTTAAAGGCATGTACCACTCCAGTGGAAGACCTGAGTTTGGTTCCCAACGTCCACATCAGCACACAGCTGACTGTAACTACAGCTCGGAGGGATCCAGCGCCCCCTTCTGGCCTTCATCAGCAATTGCATGCACTCATGCACATACTCATATTCCATATACAGAATTTTAAAAGTTTAAAAAAAAATGAAAGAAAAGCACCGTCCATTGTGCAGTGTCCATTCATCCATTTAACTGGCACTGACTGATGCCTCAGGCTGCACCAGGATACCTGCTAGGATTTGGAAGCTCTCAGGCAGCTAACACCGCCTTTGTCCTCAGGGTGTATTATGGTTGACCAAGTCACCTCGACTGTTCTCTTGTCAGTTCTTGCCAGACAGGACTCATGAGTGTATCAAAAAATAATCTTTATTGTCACTCGTATAAAATAGAGCAGATCAACTGGCCTCTCAGTCTGTACAGAGTGTGGGTGGGGCATGAGACCACCTGGGCTGCCCCTACACCTCTCATAATGCTCCTCACTGGAACAGTGCCTCAGGAGCTTACCAAGGGGACAGGACCACAATGCCTCCCTTGGGGACAGGAGTCAGGGATGGACAGGGTTGGGGGATGTTTCATTGCCTGAGGGAGGTAAAAAAAATGGGAGAAAAGTGGTGGGAGCTCTTCAACTGTTTACCACCCCACCCACCTGCACCGACTCCACTGAACAGAAGGGCAGAGGCAACTCCATGGCTGTAATAGCCCGTGCGGCCTCAGAGGGCCACACGGGCACAGCAGTGGCGCAGCAGGCAGGGCAGGATGCCTCGGTTCAGCTGGTGGAACTCCACCAGCTGCAGCAGGTCTGTGAAACGGGTCTGGCCGTCATCCATGCTGAAGTAAAGGCAGCCTTCGTCTTCACTCTGTGGTGTGGCCAGAAGGCAAGTCAGGGAGCAGTCCCGGGCAGAGGAGCAGCCCGTGGGGCCAGCAATCAGCTCCCATTTCTTGTACAGGGAGGTGCATAGTGGGGCTTCAAGTCCGGTATCCCCGGCCTACAAGAACTCGCATTAATTGTAGGGGAGTTACTCACTGGCAAAATGAGATAATGCTTCACTTTCTGCAGATGGCACAAGGACAGAACAAAGCCCTGTGGGTTCCGCTGGCTCTCTCGGACCAGGAACACACTTTGGGAAGACAAAGCAGTATTATCAGGGATTCCCGATTGCAGCTGCTCTAGGGTATTGCTGGTCCCCAGGTCTGTTACCTAGCCCAGCCCAGTCCAGCCCCTTACCCATCCACCAGGCCTTGCTGTCCAATTAGCCGCTGGCTCTCCTCCCGGGAGATGCGTCCATGAAACCAGGGCTGGGTGCGATGGATGGCTAGGGTCAGAGGGAAGAGAGATGCTGATCATTCAGGGAAGAGAACCCCCAACCTACCCCAGCCAAGACTGCTCAGAGTAGCAATGCAGTCCAGCCTAGGGATGCTAGACCATCACCCACCTGCGCTGAGGCTCGACCCGGAGCATGGGGTGGGCAGGCTGAGACGGTGGTTTGTCTTCTTCTGCAATGGGGAACATGGAGGTCAGGGTGCCCTTGGTATCCACTGCCTCCCCAAACCCTCCCCCGACTCCATGAAAGCCCGCTGGGAGCCAGTGCAGTATAGATAGGTGAAACTCTTACCCTCCAGTGCTGGGCCTCCTCCATGGCAGCGCTCAGAGCTTCCCGGGGGTTCTCAATGACACGCCCAGCATGGCCAGAGAAGTCCATAGCCACCAGGGTATTATCTGATACACTCCTCTGGAGAGAGAACAGAATGAGGAGGGGAGGGGTCAGAACAGCTGCCCTGAGCCTGCATGCCCACCCCTCCCATACCCCAGAATAGTACACTCACCAAGGGTGGAGACCCCAAATAGGACAGGCGCAGGTGACGAGACTGGGCCTGCTGATAATTCTTATATAGCTGTACCCCGTACTGGAGACAGGGGGGAAAAGAGGGTTTGAGGTTGTGAGAACCTAGGCTGAGCCTGCCCTTCCTGGTGGGGATTCTGAGATAGCTGGGCTGTGATGACCTCTTCGCTGGGAAGACATCTGACGGCAGAGCTATGTCGTCTCCACCAGGCAGGGCCAGCCCCACTGCCATTCCAGTGGTCTCACCTTGAAAAGCCGGAAGGCGGCCAGCCAGCAGGTCCGGCTCTGCTCATCCTCGCTGCAGAAGATGTGGAGCCCCTTGTGGCCATTTCGAAGCTTGTTGGGCTGGGGAGAGGAAGCGGACCGTCCCCCGTATGACTCTGTGCTCAGATGCCATAGGGCAGCGAAGGACTCAAGGACTATCCAAAAGTTCAGGTATAGGGAGAAGAGGTTGGGTCCCTCAATGTGGAACTCAGAAGACACAGGTAGGACACTGAAACTTAGGCAGCCCTCACCCCCCAGCCCAGCGCAGCCCAGTCTGCAGCCCTCACCTTGACACAAAAGCCGAAGTCGGTGGGCATCCCATACAGCTTGCGGCCCTGGGTCACCACATAGACATTAGACTCATTCACGTCCGCCACGTACTGTAGGTGTCTGGGATCCTAGGCAGCATGAGAAAGTAGGACTTGGTACAGGTAGATCCTGTCTCCATGATGGTGTCCCACCAGGTAAGGAGATTTTAGGACCAGAGAGAGGCAGGGAACTATCCATGGTCACACAGCCAACAGAAGCTGAGGTGACTCAGCTAGTAAAGAGCCCCAGAACCCACCTAAAGAGCCGGACGTAAAGTTGTACATCTAATCCCAGTGTGAGGAACAAGAGGGTTCTCAGGTAGCCCAGCCTAATCCATGAGTCCTAGGTCCCAGTAGGGACCCTGACTTAAAAATCAAGATAGACAGTTCCTAAGATCCACCTAGGCCGACTGCTGACATTCGTGTATACACAAACACACACAGAGAGACACAGAGACACACACACAGACATATACACACACA